CTATCTCCAAGCCCCCCCCCCCCCCGCAAATGGTGTGTGTGGGTTGATTAACTTTGGCTCAAGGTAATAAATATAGATTCCATTGGTAAAGTGATCTACTCTAATATGACCTTCAGGAAATTAGAAAATCAGACTCAAATGTATGAAAAGCACTTGGGCATATAGTAACTGCTCAAAAACATGTTGGCTTTTAATATTAGGTGATCACAGGATCAGCTTTCACGAATTTGTCCTTGAGTTACAAACTGCTTTTGGCCCAGGGATCATTTCTGAGAAGACAAGGTTCCTAGATCTCCAGGTAGCAGGAAATATACTTTCCTTTTATTGCAGCCTTCGCCAAAGATCTTTATCCAGACTACTCTGTAGGATCCTTCAGATGATTTTGGATGATGTGCAGATCTTCTAAATAATGTTCTTTAAAATAGTACTTAAGTATAAAGATCACCAGTAAAATATCTGTATTTAAGAGTATTTTCTTTTTATGACAAAAAAATGGTTTCACATTTATGCTGATATAAAGTTTCCTTTTAAAATAAATGATGTAAGTGGAATAAGTTGATTCAGAGAAAGCTGTTAAGTAATAATAGTACAGGTGGTACCCAGAAATGGTAGAAATCATGGCAGTGCATGCAAATGACTGAGTTTTGAGAAGTACCGTGTTCATGCATTGAACCCACCTGCTCCCCAGTTTGCTCCATGTGAAACTATTAACGCTCATTTGGTGGAGTTTGCATCTATACTATAGTTATAAAAATCTTGTGCTGGACAGGACCTGAAGGTCATCAAAGAACAACACTCCTTATTTTAGACAGGTGGTTTCTGAGATCTCGAGATGTGCTTTAAGTGCAGTACCTGCTGGAGGAACTATGACTTTCCCCATCAGAGAAAACATTAGTGCTTTCTAGTAGCCCAGACGTGAGGAGTAGAAAAGGCATAGTCATTTACCCCCAGTTCATTAAGAGACACTGGAAGAGAGAAATCGTGTCCCATGGCAGGATCTCAGAGTGCACTTGTCTTGAAATACTTTGAAGGTCTTTTATTTGGGAGTGGATTACATTTATTCTATTTGATTTCAAGGTGTAGAAGCAGGACTTTGAGTTAGCTAAACAAGGAATGAGCTGTCTTCAGAGATGATGGGCTCCCCAAGGCTAGAGGTGCTTATGTTAGCATCGTGTGACAACCCTCAAGGACACGGGGAAGGGGATGCTCTCTGTCCAAAGACCAGATGGGACCTGAGGTCGTTGCCACTCTTGAATGTCAAGGAGTCTGAGGGTAGCCTTTCCTTCCTTTTAAATGGCTTATCATAGGAAACTATTGTCTGTAACTGTCTCAGTTTTATGTAAAAAGCAGTTAAATCAGGGACGCCTGGGTGGCTCAGCGGTTGAGTGTCTGCCTTTGGCTCAGGGCCTGATCCGGTCTGGGATCAGGTCCTGCATCGGGCTCCTTGCATGGAGCGTGCTTCTCCCTTTGCCTGTGTCTCCGCCTCTCTGTTTCTCATGAATAAATAAATAAAATCTTAAAAAAAAGTCCCCTCCCCACATTACATTTTTTTGATTAAAAAATTATATGAACCTTTTTTTTGTGCTAAATGAGAAAACGTTAACATAAGCCCACTGGTTTAACTATTTCCTGCAATGTATTTTCAAAATCTGGTGGTTAAATACTTGATAGTTTGGGATTTGCATTTTAATTAGGGTTTTGTTTAACAATATGCAGTAATTATTAGAGAGGTATGTAGACTGGTCTGGTAAATCGAAAGTTCCATCATTTTGCACTCAGAAAACTTCTACTTGGACTATAAAATACGTTGAACCAGGTGAACTTGTCATTTTGTAGGCAAAAACCTACATAGGCAATTTCATATAGTTCAACCTAATAATACTAAAGACATTTATAAATAGTCTTATAATTTCTAATACATTTGGATATCATTTTCTACTAAACTCAGAATTTTCCTTAGCATACTGATCAAAGAAACATTATCACAGGGATCCCTGGGTGGCGCAGCGGTTTGGCGCCTGCCTTTGGCCCAGGGCGCGATCCTGGAGACCTGGGATTGAATCCCACGTCGGGCTCCCGGTGCATGGAGCCTGCTTCTCCCTCTGCCTGTGTCTCGGCCTCTCTCTCTCTCTCTCTCTCTGTGACTATCATAAATAAATAAAAATTTAAAAAAAAAAAAAAAAAAGAAACATTATCACAGTAAGCCAAATTATAGTTCAGCACGATTCTTCTCAAAAGGCTCTGAGTTCCTTTTGACTTGTTACTGCACAGTGAATTTTTCATTTGCAAAGATGTTAAGCCCTCTAATGTGCAAATCATTAAGAAGCCAATGGTTGTTCCAGCAAGGTTTGCCCAGTGCTGAGAAACAAGATAAAACTCCTGCACACGCTAAGACCAAGTGGGGAGACCATGTGTGGTAGTGCTTGAGGGTAAAGGACAACTATTCATGAAATGAGGATTTAACAAAGCATAATCCCAGCTTCCTTGCCGTTCACATGAGAAACCAAAGCTTCAATTTAACTGCAGGCAGTGGGAGTTTCACACTGTCAGCACCAACTGTCTGAAACCCCAAACTGGTATCTAAATGTGAAGGACCAAGGCTAAAAATTTAGAGCATCTTAGTTAAATGTCAGATTCTTTTTTCAAACACACTAAACTGTTTTATCTTTTCCATAGGACATTTGTACTATGTTAAAATGAGATAGCTCCTAGTGACTTTCCCCCAAAGTTCTGTTTTACAGAATAATATTCATGTACTGCAGGAGAACCATTTAAAAATACATGCTTGACAGGGAAAGATAGGAAATTTGAAACTCTTCTAAGAAAACTAGGGGACTATGGGGCATTTCCTGCCCCGTTTTTTGTTAAAAATTGATCAAAATATAAGCCCTTAAATTCTACGCATTCATACTCAAAATAAATCCACTAAAAGTCATGGCTTTTTTGTAGTAGTAAGGGCACTGAGACAAAGTAGTTCAATCTATTTTACAGTTGAAACAGGCTCTGAGTTTAACTGATTCGCCCAACGCCTACGGGGATATGGAAAAAAAAATCAAAGACCTCAATTATATCCCACATTCTCAAAGAAACTAAGAAACATCTCCAACATTGTTGATTTCTCCAATCAGATCACTCTGACTAGGGGAATTTTAATTCAATCTTCCCTGCCCGGCGGTTAAAAAGCGATCAAATCACATCTGATTAAATTCATTCTCCAGCCAATTGCCTAGTATGGTGTGGGCAGGCTTGGCGGAGAGCTGCTCGCTTTTCAGTGCCATTTCCAGCTGGGCAAAGGCCCCACTTCCATCATCTTGGAGACTTCAATACCATGGTAAATGACCCGATTTTGCTCTGGCACTCCTTTCCACACACGTATTTAACAAATTCTTTGCCCAGTTTTGACAGAGATGGCCTACACCCACAAAGTTTATCCAAGTTGTTGGGTAGATGGCTCAGGTTCTCAGCCCTACAATGTCTGACACCCAAAAACTGATCTATTTGACCGGTTAGTTCTTCAATTTACAAACAGGACAAAGATCCCTTGTGATATTTAGAGAAACAGAGACTAAGGGTTGTTTCCACCCAGTACCCAAGCTTCCTTTCTTCTTTCTCAGGAGGCTGATGAGTGCGGTCAGCTCAAGTTCAACAGCAGTGATTTATAAAAAATGTCTCTATAAGTGAAGTCACGCACGTATGAAGTTTTCTGCATGTAAGCTGAGGGCTTGTGTTCATTTACCCACTTTTTCAAAGATAATTTAAATGTAGAAACAGATTTCCTTTTACTTTGGAGTCAAAGACCAACCTTTATATGTGGTATGACCGTGAGGAAACAGATCTTCACAAATGTCCTGTATAAATGAACGTAATACTGCAGTTTACAGACGTTAGGGGAGACCAAGGCCCTGAGGATGCAAATTTATAATGGCTGTGTGAGCCCACTCCCTGCTGTCACTGCATCACAGTAACAAAATGATACACTTGCTTTGCATAAAAATAGTGATAAAAACACAGAGACATTTTTTTCCACTTATTTATTACATTTGGACCTTTAAGAAACATATACCATTAGATATACCACTATTCAGTAAAAATCTATTCTAGTTTTTGGGAAGCATAGGTGTCACAAACTATCTTGTTTCTAGTCTCCAAGACTTTACTAAGAGTTTATCAAAAAGGTAGACTCTGATCTATGGGATCCTGAGCCTTGAGGTTTTGAGTTTTGATTATTGTAGAACAATTTCAAATGAATGAACTGAATTCCCAGCTGTTTTCCTCCTGGAATGGTCTAAGCATTTTGAAGTTGTCTAGTCCACTGCAATATTCAATTCCTTAAGCTTTGTGATCTATTCTGTCTTTGGAAAACTTGGTAAAAAAGTAATTTTTTTTCTGTACAATAAGGATGAATTTATCAGAACACACCCGGTATGAATTATAACAAAAAGCAGTATACATAATGTGTATGCGCCATGTTCGTTTTAATGACTACTTCATAAGCTGGTAACTACTCAAACTATGGAGGCTATTTCTGGATCAGTAAGACCCAAGCTCAGTTTAGTCAGCTCCCTAACACAACTCTTGGTACTCCACATTGATTAAAAATAAAAAAGGGTAAGTGAACAGATACATACTCATACACGATTACCTTTTCAAGAAGCTACTCTTTGTGGAAGAATACAGGGAGGCTGTTGATGGGGACTGGGAGGTTTAAAGCTATGGCTTTGGTAAGCACCCCAGTGAGCTGTAGGAAGGCATTTTTAAGAGTAGATTGTGCAGCATCAAAGGATAACTCTCTAAAAGAGGTGGGCGTTTTCTCAGTTAATTTAAATTCTGAGGCTTTCAGTAGTTGAGGGCTAAAAATAAGACCCAAAGAAAAGAACCAACTTCACAACGGCTTAAGAAAGGTGACTGTGCCATTTGGCTCGTGATGCTAAATGGTCCAAAAGCCTTTGGTGGTATGATATGGACAAGAAAAATATTAATACACAAACCACATAACACCATTAAAACTCAAAAAACATTTTTTTTTTCATTTAAAAAAGTATTTAGAACACATAAAACAAGGCAACATTTATTCTTTCTTCTCATCTTCTGGTGTGGGGTCTGTCGGTGGTTCCTCCACTGTTGCACTGTTGCTCTCTGAGCCAGTGTTACTATCACTGGTCCCTTCCTCGGCCATACTGTCCACCCCCTCCTGCCCGCTCTCCTTGTCCTCAGGAGTAGATGTGCCTTCTTCACCATTCTGTTGGCTTTCCGTTGCTTCTTCAAGGTGTGTCTCCTCTGTAATCACACATTTGTCACTGTCAGTTCCAAGATAAAAATTTACTCTTCTAATTATGCTATGCTGTCCAACGTGGTAGCCACTCACCACAGGTGATGTTAAGCATTTGAATGAACTAGTGTGACTGAGGAACTGTTAGCACCTTTGAAAACAATTTGGATTTGAAAAATCTACTTTTTAGCCGTAAATTTACAAAAGCTAAATACAGATAAATTATTTCTGATGAAAACTTAGCTTCTAAATTAGATATGCAACAGGTATAAAAAACACGAGATTTTGAAAACTTACTATGAAAAAGAATGTAAAAAAACTGATACTTAAAAATGTTGATAACTGGTTGAAATATTAAGATATCCTGGGTTAAATATATTATCAATATTAATTCATTTGTTCTGCTTTACTTTAAAAAGTGTTAGAAAATTAATAATCACACAGCGACTTACATTTTATTTCTATTGGACAATGCTGTTCTCTGCTTTGGGTTTAATTAGTGGGAAATGACATAAGGGCAGTATTTCAGGTACTTTGTTAAAATGTCATGCTGGGCTGTTTTCTGTAAGCAATTAAGAGCATGAGGTTTTTGCTCAAATAGTCTCAATTTTGTTTTTTCCTTCAGCCTCTAAAAGGATAAAATCTGAGTAAAGCCCCAAAGGCATGCTCTACTCACAGATGACAGAACAGAGGCCAAACACAGAGTGTTTTGTCTAGTTGCAAAATGAGCAAAGAATCATACTCCATACCCTAATTCTCAAGCTCCTGCTTTAATCACGGACATGTACTTACGCTCCAAACTTGTTAAGATAAAAATATGTTCACAAAAAATCAGAAAGGCTCAGATAATGAAACTTAAAATCTGACTATCTGAAATGCTAATCTGAATTAAATTTTTAGTAACATGTGGTAAAGAGATCTATATTCCATTATATAGAATAGTTTTCCTGATGTCAAACTGGAAATTGTCAGTTGAATGCCAAGTATGACTACTGTCTCTCCCCCTTATTGCGGTGATGTCCAGGGAACCTTTGGCTGTATTTCCCATAATACTTCTTTTTTTTTTTTTCTAAGATTTTATTTATTTATTCATGAGAGACACAGAGAGAGGCAGAGACATAGGCAGAGGGAGAAGCAGGCTCACTGAAGGGAGCCTGATGCGGGACTCGATCCCAGAACTCCATGATTATGCCCTGAGCTAGAGGTAGACACTCAACTGCTGTGCCATCCAGGTGTCCCTCTCATAATACTTCTTTTTAAAGATATTGTTTATTTATTTGAGAGAGAGAGAGAGAGATCATGAATAGGGGGAAGGGCAGAGGGAGAAGGAGACTATTTATTTATTTGAGAGAGAGAGAGAGAGATCATGAATAGGGGGAAGGGCAGAGGGAGAAGGATAGAGCTATGTGGGGCTCTATCCCAGGACCCTGGGATCATGACCTGAGCTTATGGCAGACACTTAACTGACTGAGCCACCCAGGAGCCCCTCCCATAATACTTTTAACTTAGTCCTGTTTACATAGGGCACTGGGCAGGGTCATAACAGTGCCAGAAGGTAAAGTGATCTCAAAATTTCAAGTAATCAATTTAATTGATATTTTATGTGAGTTTTACATCTTATTTTGTGCCTTGAGGAATGCTTTTAATCAGGAAAACAGTATGCTTGGAAGTAAGAACTTCTCTTGGATCAAGTCAATAGACCTTTTCCGTAAAGACTAGATAGTAAATATTTTGGGTTTTGTGGGCTAGGCAGCCTCTGCAACTACTCAACTATACTGTGGTAGCCCCGAAGCAGCCACAGATAATACGTTAACACACAGGTAAGACTATGTTCCAACAAAACTTTACGAAAACAGGTGGCAGGACAGGATCTGGCCTGCAGGTTTTACTTGCCCAGCCCTGTCTTAGGACACTAAAGATGCTTGATCTTAAAAGTAACAACCACACACTATGTTTTAACAATAAAGGTTAAAACACGGAGTGTCATTACTGTGTCAAATCCTATACTAAGTGATTTTACATATATTTCCTTATTTGTCCTCTAGAACTCACTGTCAGAGGCCGGTACTAAAGTACTTACAGGTGAGGAAACAGATTAAATAATTTATCTAGTCATAGGCTAGTAAGTGGTGAAAGAGTATCAGACCCAGATCTGTCTGACTCCAGGGCTAGGATCCTTAACCATTCGTATCATTCTACTTTATATGCCCGAGCTGGAAAATGGCATGACTCAATCCAGACAAACAGCCAAGACCTCAAACAGCCAGACTAGAGACCAATGCCCCACTGCTCTTTTGTATTGACACCAAGATTTTATGTGAATCTACCACAGAGATTAGGATTTGGAAAGGAAATGTGTAGATCATATAGAGAATAGCCCTTGACAAGGACTTTGCAGTCAGCTGGCAGGTTACCTGTCTCCATAGGGATGCTTTCGTCGTCCTTCTTCTCCTGGGTCTTACCAGCAGCTGGCTCTTCCTCGGGAACCATGCTGCTCTGACTACGTTCAGCTTGCTCTGCTGCTTCTTTCTCCCTCTCCTCTTGCCTTTTGCGAGCCTGTTCTTCTGCCTGTGCAATTTCAGCGGCAATCTTTTCCATATCCACTTCTACTTTCAAACTGCACAACTAGTAGTCAGAAAGAAATACAACTCTCTTAGTAATGTTCTTTTCTTACAATCTCTGAACCAGAGGAATTATTTCAAAAAGTGGGTTTTCTTGGCTATGAACTATATACATTTTGGGGGGGGGGTGGGAACGGACGTGGTTTTAAGCTCTTGTGTCTATAGGAAAAAAAAGTTGCGCTATCGGCCACTTAACATCAAGTATTATGGGACACTTGGTGAGGCAATGCTGAGAGCACTGGACTTATATATATATATAAGGCTTCCATTTCCTATTTCAAGATACCAAACACTAGGTTTACTTGTGTACAAAATGTACACCATAAACTACATTTAATGAATAAATCTCAATAAAATGGAAACAACTCATGACAGCATGAGTTTAAATTAGACACCGGGGGTCTAGGGTCTATAGGCCTAGTACATATGTGTATACTATATGATATTTTAAACCTATTGAAATTTTGCCAGAAAATGGGAATAACTTCATAAAGCAAAAACCTTACCAGTTAGAGCAAAGTTAACCCTGTTTCAAAGTGAATAACATTTAATAAAAATACTATTGTGGAGAAAAGAACAAGAAAAAAGTACCAGACACAGTGATAAAAAGTACAGTGAACACATTAAATTGATACCCTTTTAAGTTCATTGTTAAATGAATCTGTGCTTTCTAGGAACTTCCTCTTCTTTTCCTGGTGTCGCTCCTCTATCTGAAGAAGTTCAGCTTCTAGTTTTCGCTGAAAGACATGATCAGCCTTTATTATTATTGAATTATTTTCTCAAAAGCAAATGGCAAACATAAAACATATTTCATTTCTTAATGGCCCATGCTTTTTCACAGCATGGCAAAGGTTTTGAATTTTGAAATTAAATCATCTGTTGTACAATATGTCTAGCTAAGATTTTAAAAACATAAAATGTGGTACAGAGGAGTGACTACAATTAACAAGTATATGTTAAAGAATATTGTTTCAGGCCTAAGCAATGTCTTCAAAAAAATATTTAGTTAAGCAGTAACATCTGAGAAGATGTCTTAAAATTCTCCATACACATACTTTCCATCACAAGGGTCTGTGTTACAGTTTTGACGACAAACTTATTAAAATCTCTGGGAAACCTCTACCTCCTCAAGCCTCTTCCCTGAATGAGGAACAGGTAAGATGGAACACAGAAATATTTAGCCTGTACACTGACGCATGGCATACAATCATGCCACTGGGGCTCTGTGACATACAACCATTTTATTGTAACAAATGCTTTGTGACTTTACCTGATGAACCATTAAGGACTGGACCTGTCGTTTGAGGACCTGCATTCTAGCTGTTGTGACAACTGACCGAACGTCTGGCACCACACTCTCACTAAGGATTTCACTGATGAGGCGGTGGTTTCTCTGGAAACGGGCAGTGGCTGTATGCTTCATTGAAAAGCCATCATCATAATCTGGAATAAATAAGATGTCTGGAAATGAGGTCACTAGTAACCATAAACAGGAGAGAGTAACAATGTGAACACCTAATCACCAAGGAGCCATGGCCCTCACTGGCCTAACAAGGGGAGAAGCTTCCTTGCTCAGCAGGGAGTCTGCTTCTCCCTTTCCCTTCCCCCTGCTCATGCTTGCTCACTCTCTCTCAAATAAATAAATAAAAATCTTTAAAAAACAGAAACAAACCCAAGGGGGCCTTAAGGGCATCGTAGGAGCAACGGGGCAGTCATTTGATTAAAAACCATAGGGAGGATTACATAATGTTCATTGGTCAGGGTACTGGTTATTCTCCTGAAATCTTCAAGTGATGATGAGTCTCTTAGAAGGACTTGGCTGAAACACAAATGATATAAAACCATGTGTCTTCTGGCATGAAAATCCAATGGGAGGGCTTGCGTGTTACAGCAGGACTGCAGTGCTGCTGAACGGTTTCCTCTTTCAGTAGTAATTTAGGGCATTTATATGTGATGACAACACAGGAGCTGGACAGCGTCTTTGTCACCATATGACTTTAATACTGAAGTAATGAAAAATGCCCACTTGCAGAGAAAACATTAACTCCAGCAACACTGTGTCTCAGACTGACATATATATCTTATGCAATTAAAAAACCATTAAAGCCCTAAAGTAATTTTATAGGAAAAGAATGTTCACTACCAAATTTTACCTTTAATTTTTATCAATCTACACATGTATAGAGTTGTCAGCATGTAAAGACATTATACTGTTTCGTTCCCTCAAACTCATATACTTACAACATGGATCTGATTTGTATGCTTATTTTCAATGGCTATGCAACAGTGTTTCCTTCATCTCAACCCTTGTCTATCACCACTGTGGTTTGGGGCATATCTGCTAATAATCCATACCATCATTTAACTTACTTAAATTAACTCACTTAAAAAAAAAAAAGCTTCCTCTTAAGCAATACAATTATAAAAGTTCCTTTCTGAACTATCTAATTATCTCAACATCCCACCAGAGGTGGAGGAACCATGCTTTAGGAACCTTTGCCAGCGGTCCAAATTGTACTGCTTTGTCACAGTTTAACACCTCCTTTATTATATGGTAATTAGGTAGTTCCCAAAATCTCATCATCATAAACACCATGGCCAACAGACTGTTTTGCAAATTATTTTATCTCCTTTCAAGTAATTTCTTTAGGAAACATACTTCTGAAATGAAAATTACTAGAATATAGGATACCATTAAAAAGAATTCCATGACTGGGACACCTGGGTGGCTCAGCGGTTGGGCTTCTGCCAAAGGCAGATCCTGGGCATGATCCAGATTCCAGGGCATGATCCTGGAATCCCAGGACGGAGTCCTGCATTGGGCTCCTCATGGGGGAGCCTGCTTTTCCCTCTGCCTATGTCTTTGCCTCTGTGTCTCTCAAGGAATTAAACAAAAATTCCACGACTTTCCTGGGTTTTTTTGGGGAAGTCTTTCATATTTACACTTTGGATTATACATGGTATATTCATGCTACCTCTATCTAAATTATATGCTTTCTTCTTTCATTTATAGGGCTCTAGTGTTGACCACTGGCAGGGGAAATCAAGTCTTAGCAATCTGGGCTTGTCTTTCCTTGCACTTAGGAGTTGTCTGACTTGGGGCAGCGGTGGGCTTATATTTTCTAGTTGTTTTCTAATTCACTAGCTATTTATTTTACCTCAGTCTCTAAAATGCCATTTAAAAAACCCTTCACTGTTTGGAGTGGAGTGCATATGCCTTCTCCGTAAGAGCAGCTGGCAGCTGCTGTGCTGCTCATAGGGGGCTGTCCTTCTCTTGGATCGGTGCTCATCTCCACCTTGCAAATCTTCCTTTTTCTGCTCAGTTCTGGGGTGAAAAATCCACGGTCTAAAGTCACTCTTCTCCTGGCATCTTCATTTCCACCTGTCCTTTCTTACCAGCAGCTTTAAGTTGCTATCTTAAACTTGTAAAACATAATGGGCTGAAATCGAAGGAACAGAGAAGAGGATCTTTTAAAGACCGTTCCTGAATGAGTCTCTAAAGTCCTGCTCAATGCTCACACTGTCTCCTTTCACCTAAAAAAAAACTTTAATTGCTTCTACTTGTGGTTCCCATGTGGCTAGCCTTTGTTTATACTCTTCTACTGATTCCTCATCCTTCTAATTATTCATAGACTGGATCTTCTTTTTAGTTCTGCAGGTTTTTCTTGCTTAATCCAATTTGAGTAATTTTTTTAAAAAATATTTTATTTATTTACTCATGAGAGACACAGAGAGAGAGGCAGAGACACAGGCAGAGGGAGAAGCAGGCTCCCCATAGGGAGCCCGATGCAGGATTCAAGCCCAAGACTCTGGGAATCATGACATGAGCCGAAGGCAGACACTCAACCACTGAGCCACCCAGGTGTCCCAATTTGAGTTATTTTGCTCTGTGTTTGCTAGTGTGTCCTTACCACTGCTGATTCTATTTAACACTCAGTACTGTTTCTATTCCATATTTTACTCTATTATTTATTATTATTATTCTATTCTATTCTATTTATGAGAATATTTGTCAGTATCCCAGTCCATTCTTTTTAAAAACATTGTTTTCCTTCTCCTTTTAGGTATACGTTTATCCATGTTTTTAGGTGGCATTACTGTTTCCTCTATCTGCAGTATCTTTAAAGTTCTTACAAGCCTCCTCTGTTACCCCTACTCTGAGATGGGATCTTATTTTCTTTTTTTTTTTTTAATATTTATTTATTTATTTATTTATTTATTTATGATAGACATAGAGAGAGAGAGGGAGAGAGGCAGAGGAGGAGGGAGAAGCAGGCTCCATGCCGGGAGCCCGACGCGGGACTCAATCCCGGGACTCCAGGATCGTGCCCTGGGCCAAAGGCAGGGGCCAAACCGCTGAGCCACCCAGGGATCCCCGGGATCTTATTTTCTTGATTTTTTTTTTTTTTTTTTTGCTTGTAGCTAGAGCTTCTGGCCTTTTCCACCTCATAGCAGCACATGAGAAAATGTTATTTGTACAGCAGGTGTGATTCATGGAGGAGTATGCTTCCCAGATGCAGGTGGCTAGCTCTGAGGTTCCTGGCAGCTTCAGATCCTGCTTGGCTGCAGAGACCAGGGGTAGAATCTGTACACCTGCAAACTTGTCATGGGATGCCGCCAATTAAGATGCTCTGCTATTTGTATGTGTGTATAAAGTTTGTATGTGTGCATTTCCTCATGTTTATCATGAGCTATGTTGGATTTCTGAATTAAATAGAAAGAAAAATTCATAATACTTCTACCCACTCATTAACTTTCTCCCTTAAGTGCCTTTAATTCAGCAAGTTTAAGGAACCAACAGGAAAACAAGATATAAATAGAAGACATTTAGGTTTTTAAAAGCAGTTGCGGCAAAATTATGACTCCAAAACCTTCCCTGTATAAAGATTCTGGTAAACTATAAATAGTTTTTGCTGTCTTCTACACTAACAAGGATATACCTTTTTCTTGTGGGAAATTAATATACCTTAAAATAATTACTCAAAATATTAAAATGGCACTTAAATATGCTTTGTTTCCCATTTAGGATAGGAAATAAAATAAAAACTTAAGAGATTGCTTTTTTTTTTGTTTTGTTTTTTTACCATCTGGATCTTCAGCAGGCTGAATGCTCATGTAAGGTTCTCCTTTCTCCATGCGAGACTGTCTCTGTCGACTTTCTTCCTCTAAAGCAGCTTCTGCACGACTTTTCGCATTTATGTAAGCAAGGTATGCGGGGGAATTATGATAGGCCTTCATAGATTCATTGTACTCTATCTGAAATTCAAATGTTTTTCAGTTTTATAATTAACATATTGCAGGTTATACAAATACTTTATCTCATTTGACTATCAAAAGACATAATTATCTCCTTTTTACAGACAAGGAATCTGAAGCCTAGAGAAATTTGACTTGACCAAGGCAGAGACAGTACAGCCTCAACTGATTACAGCTTTTGTTTTTTATAAACAAGCAAATGTTTATGCATTTTATATATTGTCTCCATCCCACTGTGATCCCCATTCTACCTTTTCTGCTTCGTATTCGTTTAAATATTCTTGTTTTTCTTCATCAGTGAGATCTCGCCACATGCCACCAATAATCTTGCCAATCTCCCACAACTTTAGGTCAGGGTTGGAAGCTTTTACTTGGTCCCAGACCTTAAAAAGGAAACATGAAATTTTTAGGATGCCTAACAATACAGACCTTTAAAAATATTTTTTAACATAGAAACTTTTAAACATAAACAAAAACAGAAGGAATAGTATTGAATCCTTATGTTCTCGTCGGCCCGCTGCAACAATTATCAATAGCTGACCAATCTCATTTTCTCTGCTGGATTAATCCATGGCAGATCTCAAGATATCTCCAATCACTGTTGACAGTTAAGATGAGCTAACCCAGTAAGATAGTCTCTCTCTAAAAGTTCACAGAATTTAGAAGGAAAGTGGTTAATCTGTATAATACAACAGACCATATTTTTAAATATATGTGTAACAATTGTGAACACAAATTTCTAAACAGTGGTGAAAATAGCTAAATGCTCTTGCTATTAATAAAGATCCTGGCTCTATTTGTTACTTTAAGAGAACACAGGTTCATAACCAAGCCAAACCAAACCACAAGGGAAAATTAAGAAGTATAAAGAAAATGAAAATTACCATAAGCTTATTGTATAGATATAACCCCTGCATTCTAGGCCTTTTTTAAAATTCAAACATACAGTTGCTATTCTTTTTATAAAAAATAAGAGTCTAATACATGTGGTCCATATGTATGCCTTTTTGCACTTCAGATTTTTCTCATTTCACTGAGCTTCTCCAAGAGGCTATATAACATTGTCTTGTGGATTTAAACTATTTTTTCAATGATGTTCTTCTTGCTGGATTTTAGTTCTGGTATTCTGAAATCAGAATTAAGTTCTTTAAAAACTGCAATTCCTTATCCTTACTCTCTAACTATGCACAGAAACACTGGCTAAGCCCTTATGAAATCTGATATAGAGCAAAGCAGCAAAGAGCAGTCCTCATTCCCTTTTGGCACCTAGCACCTACCTTTCTGCTGTACCTCATGTAGGGCATCAGCGGCTTATCTGGTGGCTTTGGGGGTTTTGGAATCGTAATACCAGAGGATGCCTACAAAAGAGTTAAATACATTCATTATTATTACTTGCAAGTAGTTAACCAGCAAAATGAAAAGAGAGCCCTTAAAAAATTCTAATGCGCCTTTCTTCTACTGGTCCATGGATACAAGATTCTTATATTTTCTCCACTGAAAATAGCTATCTCTGCAAATTCAGAAATGTTCACATCAAAAGAAAATAAAGAAAATGACTTTAGGCACATAATTTTAAAATATTTTACTTAGCAGTTTTTTGCTACTGGTTTGACAACCTGGCTGTAAGAACAAATAACATATTACATAATAATCCATACATCGAAAAAATATTTATGTTTATATATCACATGTCCCACATTTAGGACATAACCTAACACCCTTTTACTGTGTGCTTAATTTACCATTACATACAGTCAACACTTGATTATCTGCCCAAGTCTAGGCTCCTTCAGAACTTACCACTCTCACACTGTCTGTGGGGGACCTGTACTATTTCAGAAATGCACTGCACCCCTACATAAAGAATACCCCTGCAAAAACTATCTTCTGGTTCAAGATGGAAAACAAAAAAACTAATTTCCTTTATCAAGACTAGAGATTTTATTTTTTCTTAAGGTTCTAGGACCATATCTAGTGGCTTTCTACAAAGTGGATCAAAAGTATAAAGTCATGCCTTTTCTTGTCCTTAGTCCTAATAACATAGGAATGTACCAAGAACAGAGAAATGGCAAACACAGGGCCCAATTAGGTTATTTTTGAGGCCTTATACTGATTACAAATTTTTGGCTTTGTGGAGAGAAAGAAAAACGAAAATAAAAGGCGGAGGGGAGACGAAAAATATTTTTTAAACAGGTTAAGATAAAGGTAGGATAGAGGGGGGGAAAAGGCCAAGAAAAAGATGAGAAATTGGTTCTCTCTATGGGCTAATATCTAAGAGATACCAGGCACTGTCTAGTGGGCGACCCAGATAACTCCAATCCAAGAGCACTTATTTCTGAGCTTAGTTTCATCTTAGCATACATGACTACATTTGGTTAAGGACCCAGAATAAATTAATAATGACTGAATCACATTTATTTTCTCCCAATTTCTAGGAGACAATGGATATTGATGCTCCTTGCCGGGTGAGGGTGAAGAGGTGCTGGCTTCATTATCAAAAGACAGGGACTGGTGAATACCTATAAGGAGTCTAAATGAGTGACATTTTGTTCCCTTGCTCTTCAGCTGCTCCTGTGATAAAAGCCTGGACAAACTCCTCCTTTTTTGAGTTGGGACACCAATTATGATTATTTTTTATCCGAAGGCTCAGAGATTAGTGTGTCCCATTCCATGGTTTTCAAACAATGCTTCCTCCTCCTCCTCCTCCGAGGGTCTTCCTCCAACCCTATTTACTTGCCGTAACTCTGCTTCTTCATACGTGAACTTGTTAGGATATCACCTTTGAAGCAGTATTTCCTCCTCTTTTCTTTCCACTCCTCCCATACATTCACACCACACCTCATGCCAGTGCCCGTGCAAACAGACCTTGTTTTTTTTTTTTTTTTTTTTTCATTCAGCATTGGGCAATGGAGTGAAGCGAGCCACAGGGTTAGACACTGTCAACAGCAATGGTATGAACAGGCCATAAGAGAAGATCTGTCTCAAGGTCTGTAGCTCTTTTAAGGAGGGGTAAAGGAACTCCTATGAGGCTAACCTTACATCACTGGTTCAGAGCAAGATTCACAAAGGTCTGCATTTTCATACATGCAGTTATTAGAAAGCATTTCCAACTTGTATCCAACACAAATTTTCAAAATTCCATAAGGTGGGTTACAAATAAAGTTGGAATTGTCCAATAATTGAAGTTGGTAGACCACCCCTAAGAGATTTCCTTTAGAGATAAAGAACTCTAAAATGTCTATATTTAAATGTATTGAATTAAAAAACTTTAAAAACAAATTATAGTAATATATGCTCTGATTACTTTTCAAAGAACCACAATTGATAACATTAATGGATTTGCTTACTCTTCCTCTTTTCTTCCAAAGGAAGGGATACCCAAATTGTCTACATACTAAGGCTACATTTTCATCATTTGAATGAAATGATCTATATTTGACTAGTCAACTTATAAATACAAACAAAACAAAACCAAAAACAATAACCAAACTTAAATTCTAGCTGGTTTTCAGGACACTAAAGATGTATATCACTAAACTTCTCTAATTTATTTACCATCTCAGCAGACATCTTCCTACAGTGTCTTAAACATTACTCTTAAAAAGAAAAAAAAAGCAGTTCGAACTGAAGACATTTTAACCTTATTTTGATAAGAGTCCATCAGAAACAACCCCTGCTTTCCTGCCTGTACTCCTCTGGCTTGAGGAGTAAAAGCTGCTGGTCCCTTTACTAAATGGCCCCCAGTGGTTATACTTTTGAGGGAATGTTTCCCTTCTTAGCGGTTTCCTTCCTTGTTTCTATCAGGAAAGGTACCTCTAGTAGGAAATGTCCCTCTCTATAATTTTTTGCTTCTAACTGGAAATGAGTTGGGGGAATGTAAGTAACATGCTTGTTAAAACTGTGCTAATATAAGAGTAATTACTGGAGGACACCTGGGTGGCTCAGCGGTTGAGCGTCTGCCTTTAGCTCAGGTCATTCCCGGGGTCTTGGGATCAAGTCCCGCATCAGGCTCCCCACAGAGAGCCTGCTTCTCCCTCTGCCTCTGTCTCTGCCTCTTTGTGTCTCTCATGAATAAATACAATCTTAAAAAAAAAAAAGAGTAATTATTGGGAATTGCCTATGAATAAAAACCATGTTTTTGTGAAATTTATTTTGATCACTCAAGAGATTTTGTTGTTGTTTCTTCTAATTCTCCACTTTCTCTGGTAGGGTTTTCTTCTAGAATAAAATTTCCATTACAGTACAGAAATAAGCCATTTTTAAAATTTTGTCTCAAACTTTTCACACCTGTACTTAAAGAGGATGTTAACCAACATTGGAAAGGACTAACTAGGAATGAATTCCATCTCACTGCTACTGCAGGTACTCCAAAAAATTTCTGCAGGCTGTAAAAAGTCTTGAAACTATTCAAATGTACTAGAATCATGAGGGAAACCAGATTTCTGTAGACCTACAGGAAGCTACTTACTTGATAGGGCTTCACAGACTCATTTCTTCAAATTAGTGACTTAAGGCTATTAGCAAACGATAATATCAAATAGGAACCGAGAAAAAAAAAGGTAACACATTCTTGGGGGTCATCTTAAAATAAAACACTTTAATAATAGTCAAAATCAGATCCATTAAGTCCTAACAAAGTTTAAGTTAGATATATAAAAAAAAAAAAGTTGTGTAAAACTTTTGGCATAACTAATTTTCTCATACTGTGATTCAGTGACCTAAAAGTTGAAGGGGCTGAGATTAACAGGCTGAAAGCCTTCAGTTTCTAGGCCCCTTCAGGTTGAGTCTAGGTTGCATACACTTTTTGGTACTATGAGGTCAATAATACCAAGAAAACCACCACAAAAAACTAAAACACCAAATCTTCCACATCCAATAACCCTCCTGTATTAATCTACCCCAAAGCTAGTGCCCACTCCAAATATTGGGTTCTAACATCTCCCACTGGAAATGAGGAGAAATATAACTGACTCAGGTCCTGAGACAGTGGGTGACTTTTCCTTTTCCTACTGAATGATCTCTCTTTATTAACAGAGAATTCCCATAGATATATCCAAGTTAGGAACAAAACACTTATACAAACGGAAATACAAATGATGCTTATAATACAGTTATCACCATTTCTATTCCATTAACATAGATAATCAAGAGCTGACTGTATAGAGCTATTAAAATGTAATCATTCTCTTTTCACTCCTCATGAATAATTTTCTGCATTAACATGAATGATCCAAAATTGATTTTGCTCCTTGTTTAGATTAAAATGCTCTTTATCATTGGATAACCTTGCCACCTGTTATACTTGTGAAACACATTTAGGCCAGGGAAAAACACGTACCAATGCACATAAAAATTGTATGCATTGTGAAATGCATACATACACACACTTTGTCAAAATTCTTTTCAGATACCATGAAATATGCATGGCACATAAAACTTGATATGCTTATGAAGTACAAATTATGCAGAAACAATGAAAAATTTAGACAAACAAAACCTATCAAGCTAAGCAATATGCTTACCAAGATAGACATACAGTTTGATAGTTACAAGTTTTCTGCTCTAGCTTGACTACAGGGTGAGAGGGCTCTTTTGAAGTCACATTAATTGAATTATTTATGAATTATTTATGAATACAGCAAACAAAAACCAAGTATTAAAAAGTTTACAGCCATTCTGGGTTGTGTAAATTCTCACCAATGCCACATATATGTAGGTATTTGGCTTTTGGATTTATTTTTATTTACTTTTGGTAAATAACTTTTACATTTATTTCTTTGCTAATTAAGCTTCCTTGAACATAGTTTAAGATGATTCTAAATAAAAAATCTGAAGTATTATCACCCAATTTGGGTGTTTTAGGTTGATCATTTAAATGAAACATCCTCAGTTTCGGAAATTATACCGCCTGTCCTATAGATAAATGCACTTTTAGTTGTAGGTATCTAGTTTGGCATGTCAAATTAATTTCATTCAACATGCATTCTGAAATTCTTTGAAGTTACATAAAAATCTTTTTATAACTGGAGAGAAATGAATCTCAGAAAATCAACTATTAAATCCAAAAGACAAATAATTATGTGCAGTGGTTCAAACTGGTAGGCCAGCGGCAATAAGCTCAGGCCCATAAGCCTGGCTTTTATTAAGAAACTGAGTTCTTGAGCCTCATGTCAATTACCTTAAATGGTACTCTTTATCTCAAAAAGGGTATTTTAACCATAAGAAATTCTAGGTTTGTCTACATATAGTATAAGCAGTTAGGTGCCCAGGGCTTTAGCTCTACCAACCACCAAACAGAATGGATTCTTCTTTTCTTCTATATACATATTCAGATTTCACTATTTTTTTTTTCCTCCAGTGTAAGATCGTACAACGAATGTTTAAAATAGTCAAAAAGCCAGGTTAAAAAAAAAATTTTTTTTTTTAAATGGCTGTGCTGGTGATTCAAAAGGACCTAACTCTGGAGGCATTTCTGGTCAAATCCAGTTGTTTGCCGGATGCTGTAATAGTTGATTCTCCTACCGTGACCCGGCTGTTGGTGCCCGGGTTCCCTCCCAGCCTGTAGTTGTTGTAGGCGAGATGACTGTATGGATTGTATCCCACAAACCCTGGTGTGCTGGGCATTTGCTGATGGAAACAAATGAGACAAAAACACGAATGAGAAATGAGCTCAAACGAGGAAAACACAGAAATGAAAAATGATCTGCATATGGCATGCAAAAGCAACCTGAATTTAAACAAGCAATGATGTGTTGTAATTGTTCTTTTTCTTTCATTGAGAAACCAGTCTGCAAGTGTTTTTTTTTTTTTCTTTCTTCCCTTTCTTTCTCTTTGCAGGGGGCCAGTCATGTTTGTTAGTGTGAATGTGTGTGCTTGTTTTTTTGGAATAAGCAATACACTGAAGTGTCTCAAACACTCCGGATTACTTTATGATCAATAATATAACAACTTAGCAATATATGTCTGAGATAGGAAGGCCTGCAATGTGATAAACTAGAAGTCTGAAAACACTTTACATGCAAAACAAAACGTGATTTACTTGACAGTTATGTAGATGCCGCCAATGTATTTAACTACTAAAAACAAAAACAAGAAATGGATCGTTTTCAGAGACAATTTTAAATCATTCTATATAATGTGAGATGAAAAGATACTCAAATCAGGAAGCCAGAGTTGTCCATAGAAAAGAACATATGTGGAATTCAATGGGTGTCACATACATGATTTCAAAACAAAGACTTATAAGAAATGCATGGATTTCATTTGGGGGTACTATCTCATCTTTTAAACCCAGTCATTCTTTTTTTTAGGCTTTCTCTTCCATCTCTTCTTTGATCCATCTTCCATAGGTCAATCATTAACACTTTCTGCCTTAGTTTTAATGTGAACTACTTTTCTAGTTGACAGACTTGAATTTTCTTTTTTCATCTACTTTCTTGATAGCTCTGACTCTTTCAAAACACAACTGCTCCAATGGAATTTTTGGGTTTCGTGAATTATGTGTTGAATCACAAATGGGCTCCTATATAGCAGTGCCTTCATGGTTAATACAATGACATCCAATGTTCATGAGAATCAAGGTATAATGCATAAAAAGGATGTAGCAAAGAGAAACCAAAAGTAGGGTATTTTACCTAGTGAAACTGAATCAAAACAGCTAATTTAAACATGCAATTAACAATATTAGTCCTCAATTGTAGAATGTAAAATACACAACACATCCCAACTAAGCTGTGGCTGTTATAAACACAATTTTCTAAAACATGCCGCTGCACATATCCTTAGTGTCCAAAAGAAAGATATTCAAGCAGATACTACATTTGAAACTCTTTAGAAGAAGAGAACAACTGATCAATTCTAGTCTGTATAGTTATAAAAGACGCAAATTAAGCATATTTAAGTAGGCAAAACACAGATGAAGTATCAAAGGCACAAAAGAAGTGTATATTACTTGGAGTGGTACATTTGGGTGGTGGTGGTGGGGTGGTGGTGGTGGTGGTGGTAGTGGTAGTGGTGGTGGTAGTGGTAGTGGTGGTGGTGGTGGTGGTGGTGATGGCAGAAGTATGGAAAAAAAAGAGGAAGGAGGATAATTCATTCAAAATCCATTCTGTTGGATGTGCTAATCCCTAGTCTTCTTTATTTTATGTGTAAATGTGAAATTACAATGGTACAGAAATAGGACTAAAGAAAGGCCAAAAAAAAAAAAAATCCCTCTCTACATTCGAGAAGTCATAAGGGGACATTTGGTTTTTGAGCTATTTTTATTATCCCCAAAAATCAAGTTTGTCTTCCAGAGATTATAGACTGTCAGAGGCAGTATGTACGTCAAAATGACATCTTCAAAGTTTGCATAAAGAATGAGAATCACTGTTCAACATTATGAGGCAATAATGTAAGAAAATTAAGTAAGGGAATTAAAAAAAAATCAAAACTAAAACATTACAATTATACCATTTCCAAAATTGAAGTACATGGTTAGCTCTTTGAGGTCAGAATCTCAACTGTTCAACTCCACCTGTATAGCCACTAGCAGAGTGCCAAGGAGATGGTCTTAAGAAATGTTTTTGATTTAAGAAAGAAAACAAACCAAACACAGGACTTTAAGATCTACTGGAAGTAACTTTAGAAACTGTATGTTACATAAATTGAAATGAGAACATGAGATACAGTATCTCTTTTAAGAAGTATTTTACTAAGGAAAAATAAATTGTTGATAAATAAAACTAAAGCATACATCTGAGGGTTAGTAAGAGAGTCATCTAGTGGAGAAAAAAATTACACAAGGACCTAATTAGTAGGGGAGCCTGCAATTTGGGGGATAAGGGGTAAGGAAGGAGGGCTAACAGCTGTTAACTGCTTTTGTAGGCTATGGTCAATGTTAAGTGTTTTTTTTTTTTTTTTTCCTTAAAGACAAAAAACAAAAAACAACAAGGAATCCGTTTCGGCAAGGCCTGAACAGTTTGTTATATCTGTTTTGTGGATTGGACGATTATTTTACACGCTGTCCAAGCTGGGCCAGAACTTGCTGGGTGATAAACCTAGTTCACAAGTATGATTTAGAAATTTGGAAACATACTCAATAGGCAGGATCTGACCCACAGATAATGAAATCCTTACTTAAACAGCTTGAAAAATAAAAATTTATAATGAGTGTTATTATAGAACTGGAAACTTTATTGTTTAATATGAAAATTATATATAAACAAGGAGAGAAAATGTAACCAGTTGAAGGTTAGGTTTAAAAATAATAACAAATGCCAGAATGAGCATTCACTCAATATCAACTCTCGATAGAGATTAACTAGAAAGAGGTGTTAAACTTATCATTTATTTCCCATTAAAAAAAGAACTGAGCATAGGAGGTTGGAATTTCAGCAATATGTTTCTTAAGATGTTGGGGTTGGTTCAAGGTAAGATGCAAAGAGTTATTTTATTTAGTAGGAAGTGCTGTTTTTTGGCTGAATTTTTCATCCTGTTGCTGTGATGATTGAGTGACTGTCACTGGAAGACATCTGGGTTTTTGTATCAAGGCCAGACTTGGCTATTACATTAACAAGAAAATTAAAACTTACTGTTGCAGGAGCTGGGGTGGGAGGTGGGGCATAAGATGGTCTTTCTGTTTGAAAGAAAATAAATAACTTCTTGTAAACAACTGAGATATAATACTATGCAACAAAACTACCAATGGTCCTGTTTTGAAGAAAAAAAATGAGAGTATTTTGGAATTCCCATTTGCTAGGGCATTAGTCTCTTATTAATAGATAAATATAAAAAATGAAACTTACTTGACATTTTGGAAGATTAAGTTCTCAGTTCCTTAAGAATGAATCTGAGACACTAAAATAAAAAAAAGAAAAAAAAAAGAAAAAAAAAGAGAATCAAAACTCAGCAAGCATAAGAGATGTTTTCCTAAAGAATAGGGTAGTTTAATTGGTATTTCTTAGTAAAATTACACTATCTTCTAGTAATCAAATCTTTTGCATATTTTACTAGTTCTTATAAGTCATGTGGTTCATCAGAATTAAACAACTAAAACAAATTACTCGGGATACTAAAGGTGGTATTAGACATGTACTTTCAAGTTTTTTTGCATATCAGGCCACCTCTTGCATGGAAAACATTTTGCTAATGCCATGTAAACATTTAATCAAACTGATAAAAATATAATGACAATAGAATGTGATTTATTATCAGGGCCCACCCCAACAAGGCCTACCAGATACTATACTAACAGCTCACTGATCAACAGCAGCTCTACTTCTATTTTTTTTTTTCCCCCAGCTCTACTTCTATTAAAACAAGGCAGCATTTTATTCCTGGAAGCAGTGCAAAAGGTAACTGGTTGATAATGAGCTTTACATTCTCTTATAGTGGTAAACAGCTTTGTATTTCCTGGGAATAACTTTTGAAAAACTTATTAATCCCTCAAAGCCCATTTCAAAAATATATCTCCTCCAATGGGACTTTTCCTGATAAATCACCTGGGGAGAACAAACTGCTTCCTTCTCTGAACTCCTACCCAATTTACATAAATCTATAACATTGTTCATTATATTGCATTATACCTGCGAATACGGCTAGACTGTAGAACAGAGGCCATCTCATTCATTCTTGCAGTCCCAGCACCTAGCTCAATTCTTACATTTTGTCCTAGTATTACCAGCTCAGAACAAGAACATACACGTGTGAGCGTGTGAGATTGCTCCTTACGTCAATATACATCACACACAATGTGTACAAAGAGACAAACATTCATTTTAGGAAAAGAGCAAATAACTTCCATGACTGCTGGAGTACTTTCTTCGAACGTTATGTCAAACAAGCATGATGCTTTTGCTTCTATCCTACACTTTAAGGGGACTCCCTGGAGCATGAGGAATAAGAGGACTGTGTGGAAAAGTATTTTTTCAATGGCCCGACCTGGGTCTCTTCCTCTTTCCTCAAGGAAAGGGCAGAAACCACGGATTTCGGTGCAGATTTCCTTCCTGCTAACGTTTGGGGGCTGGGGGTGGGGTGGGGTGGTGGGCAGTGTGCTGTCAACAACCGGTAGGCCTTGCTGCGGGGAGCCCTGACAATAACTGCCAAAGCTCCCTGGTACATCATCACACTTTACTGTCAACACTTTACAATCCTTGCCCTCGCCTGCTAGGATAAATTCTAAGTAAGAGTGGGCTTGTACGTTCGTCTGCCACAGGGACCCGTCCCTGGCGCCTGCCATAAATACTAGCTGCTTGTTGGGCCACCTTACACGAGGAAGGCTCACCGCTTATCTTGGTTCATGGTCACAACCAGCCTACCGTGAGATATGTTTGGATATCCCTACTTTGCACGTGGAAAAAAAAAAGGGAGTCTCGGCGAGTTTAAGTAACTTGTCTCAAGCCGCACAGGCAGGAAGTGCCAGAGCCGGGTTTCAAACCCAGGCCAAACGGTTTCAGAGCTTTCGCACTCCACTCGAAGCCACCCCGTGGGTCGCTGCCCAACCCGGGGGGAACCACCTTCCTGGGGGGGGGAGGGGAGGGGGCTGGACCACGGGCTTGGCTCGCCCCCAGGGCTTCCCCGGAGGTCGTTTCCTCTAGGTTGCCGTGGAGAACGCGCTGGACCAGGAACTCCACTGGAGAGGGGACTGCGTGGGTGGCGTGACCGATTCCGCGGGGTGCGTGGAAGAGGCACATCTTGCCTGCGGGGAGGGGCCCCAGATGGGACTCCCTCCCGGCCCCCGCTCCGCTAGGCCTCACGGAGGCCGCAACCGGCCCCCAGCTCTGGGCCCGCGGCCCCGCCTGAACCCCAGCAACCCCCGGGAACTCGAGGTCCAGCCAAGCCGGGACACCGCAACTCGCCACCCTCCCGACCCGCTCGGGCCCAGTCGGAAACACTCACCCGCGGGCAGAAAAAGCGCCCGCAGCTCCGGCCTCGTTTCTCTTTGTCCCGCGCACGCCCCGCCCCTCGCGTCCGGAGCGTCCCCACTCGCACTTTCCACACTCTTCTTAATTGTCTTCCAGGCCTCACGCGACTCTTTAAAAAACAAAAACACCCTCCAGTTGAGGATGCGGTGAAGCTTCGTCAGTCAGGGATTTTTTTCAGGCTCCATACGTTCCTCCAAACCGGCGGAATGTGGGCATTTTCGGGCTGGGCGCCGATTCGTCACGGCGAAGTGGGCGGAGGGGCCCGGCGGCGGGAGCGGCCTGGGCGGCCGCCGCGCGGGGCCGGAGCGGCTGCAGGTGGCTTGGCGGGAGTCGCGGGCCTCGGGTTCCACGTACGCGGTTGCTCCGGGGCCGACGCCGGAGCCGCCGCGGCCGCTCCCGCAGGTGGTGGTACCAGGTGGTGGTGTTTTCCGGGTTCTTCCTTGCTCGCGCTTTCGGAGCCAGAGCACGTACTCGGGCGAGCCGAGGATGGAGGCGAGGACCACCGGGTTCTTGGAGTTTCCGTTCCCACGCGCGCCTCGCGGGGCTTCCCGCCTCAACGTTCGGGCGATAAACCTTGACCGAGAATGCAGCGCGGGGACCTTTTCGGTTTTCCCCAGCGCGCGGGCGCTGTGATCGCCAGGTTTCCGAGCCGGGGCGCAGAGATGCCAACCCCCTCGGCCAGGGCTGTGCGCCCCTGCGGCGCGGGGGCTGCCGCGGCTCTCTGCCCGGCGCTGCCTGGGCTCATCCCCACCTTCGGCTCAAACTCACCCGACCTTCCGGGTCCTGCTCTGACTCTCACTGTGGTGCCCTCTTGGACCCCCCCCCCCCCAATAGTCCTTCCTCTGAACTCGCACGGTTCTTTGGTGACTTTGCACTCTGTGCCCTTTTCCCTACCTACGCTGGTTTACCAGTTAGTACGCCTTTCCTGGGGTATGTCAACACCTGGCCCATGCCGTGGGCCGCTGTGGAGGGACAAGGATCTGTAATTGCTTGAAAACGCTGTTGACATTTAGAGGGACTGACTGAATTCTTGGGCTGCTCTTGGGTGCTTTTAGGTGTGCCAGCAGGGACCAGGGCATCCCCAGAAGTCTGCAAAGCCAGCCACAAGAGAGACATCTTGTCGAATTCTTCTGCTCCCAATATTTTCATACTCATAAATAGCGGTCAGTGAAACTAAAGGGAAAGGTTGAAAGAGAGGTTGTCAAAGGATAATAGGCCTGAGTGATACTTGAGAGAATGTACAGTTGACCCTGGACAGTGGGGGTGGGGGGGGATAGAGGGGTGGGTTAGGAACGCTCCCTAGTTGAAAATCCAGCTACAACTTTTGATTTTCTTAACTATAATATAATACAAATATAAATATGATCCAGCTATAACTTACCTACTAACCGTCTACTTTTCATTGGAAGCCTTACGGATAATATAAATGGGCAATGGTTAACTCGTATTTTGTGCCTTATATGTATTATATATTGTATAATTGTATTGTAGTTTATATTGTAAACTTTGTCTTAACGTTTTTTTTTTTGGGGGGGGGCGCATTTCTAGGCCATGCAGTTCCTCTGCAAGTTGTTTCAAGTCGTTGCAAATCTCAAAAAAATTTTTCCCATGTATTTATTGAAAAAAATCCACGTGTAAGTGGATCGGCACAGTTCAAACCCATGTTGTTCAAGGGTCAACTGTACTTGAAATTGCCTTTTTAATATAAAAGGGTCTGAGACATGTAAAAGATTAACGTAAGATACATGAAAGCTTCAGCAAGGATCCCAGTACTGTCTTGCTCTGGTCTTGTCTCACTCCTTCAGCCTGGTTTCTTCCCTGCACTTGGGCTTATGGTGGGGCAAGTACGTTGCTGAGGCAAATGCTCTATCCTTGCATCACTTAGGCAGTCCTTCGCAGGTGCTGGATGTTACACTGTAGTGAGAAAGGGGTGGAACAGGAATGGTGGAAAAAGAAAGGAGGGGGATCTGAGTGGAGCAGTAACATTAATACACTTTCCTACCTCCTGGTCTTTACTTAAATGTCAGACCTATTTAAAATTCCCAGTCTCCATTCTCTCCATGGTCTGTGCTTCATTTTTATATATATATATATATATATAACTCTTATCACCACCTAATATACTCTATTTGTTATGTATTTATTTTGTTGTCTTTTTTCTTCCCCTCACAATGAAGGCTTCTTGAAAGTGGGGATATTTCACATCAGAACAGTATATGGTACATCCATGTGCTCAATATTTGCAGAATGAATACATGGTTATCTCATTTTCTCTGCTTGGCTCTTTTTCCACTCCCAGAGATTTGTAAAATTAAGAAAGGAAGAATACAGACAAAATAAAATAGAAAAAAAAAATCTGTTCCCTGGTCCTAAAGAAATTAAGACTGAAGAGAAAAATATTCAGTAAGATAGACTCTGTTTACACTGAGGTGTGTGTGTGTGTTTTCCGTCCAACGCTCAGATATGATCTTGTATATTTTGCAGTATTTATGGGAACCACAGGACAGACTTTTGGAATGGCGATTATTCCTGGCAAGTATGGGATGCATCATTAATATGACTAAACTATTGTAACTATAAACACTGTTAGGAGCCCTCACAGCAACCTAGTGATAAACCCCAGGGATAGTCTCAGGCCCAAGTAGTTTAGTTTTCTTTCAGGCAGCAAGACCCAGGATCTTGGCCTGCTTTCCTCTCTGACACTTAACTTTTTTGAGGTTCATCTTCCCTCCTACCCCCAAACAGGGAAACCAAAACTAGTAAGTGATTAAGCTGGATTGAAGCCCAGGTCTCTTTAACTTCTTCCCACAATACTGTGGGGAGAAGCTGAGAAGGGAAATAGGATGAGGGGTAGAAAGAGAACCAAGGCTGGGAAGGAAGAAGGAAAAGGAGAAAATGGAAGAGAATGAGGAAAGCCCTGTAGTCCTTGGATACTTGGGTGGTCTATGAACAGGCCCTGAGGAGGTCTAGAAGCTCTTTAAAATTCACTGTAATTTTTTGTGCTTCCTCTTCCACCTCCCAGTTAGAGGGTCAGCAGTTCATTAGATTTTCTTTTTTTTTTTTTTTTAAAGGAGTTCAATAGATTTTCAAAGAGATCTGTGACTCAAAGATTTTGAACCAACCACTGAACCATGCAGTTTGTCTGTAGTATTTTCTAGTGAAGCTATGTTAAATGGATTTTTTTCTTTTCTCTCTCTTTTTTCTCTCTCTTTTAAAAGATTTATTTATTTTAGAAAGAGAGAATGAGCAAGAGGGGCAGAGGGAGGAGAATCTCAAGCAGGTTCCGTGCTAAGCCCAGATCCTGAGGCCAGGCTCCATCCTAGGACCCTGAGATCATGACCTGACTTGAAATCAAAAGTTGGATGCTTGGGCAGCCCCGGTGGCTCAGTGGTTTAGCGCTGCCTTCAGCCCAGGGTGTGATCCTGGGGACCTGGGATCAAGTCCCATGTTGGGCTCCCTGCATGGAGCCTGCTTCTCCCTCTGCTTGTGTCTCCGCCTCTCTCTCTCTGTGTGTGTGTGTCTCTCATGAATAAATAAAATCTTAAAAAAAAAAATGCTTAACTGTGCCACCCAGCACCTCTTAAATGCATTTCCCCCCTTAAAATAGGGAAAGGGAGGACAGAGTCCCCTTGCCAAATGGCTTGTAAAAGTCTGATTATAGTCAAAATGGTGAATTAGGTTAATTTTCTCAGCTGTTTCTGTGAAAGCAAAAGTTATGGGTATTCAGTTTTTATCGCTAGAAATAATTGTGCAGGGACGCCTGGGTGGCTCAGTGGTTTAGTGCCTGCCTTCGGCCCAGGGCGTGATCCTGGAGACCTGGGATTAAGTCCCACATAGGGCTCCCTGCATGGAACCTGCTCCTCCCTCTGCCTGTGTCTCTGCCTCTCAATAATAAATAAATACAATCTTAAAAAAAAATAATTGTGCAATATTGAAGCCCAGTAGATTTCCAGGACAGAGTAATTCACAGTGTTTTGTAGAACCTGACCTATGATTTGCTTTTACAAACTTCTGTGTTGCCTACAAAATACATTGAGGATTTGGGATGTGAGGTTTGACATATAATATGGAAAAGGATGAAAACATGGTGGTCCTGGAGAAACTGGGGGTATGGTGTTATCCACAGACCTTATCTGAGGGTCTAGGGCAAGTGTCACACAGGCCCAGTCTAAGCCACCTCCTGTTTTTTTTTTTTTTTTAAGATTTTATTTATTCATGAGAGACAGACAGAGAGAGAGAGAGAGGCAGAGACACAGGCAGAGGGAGAAGCAGGCTCCATGCAGGGAGCCTGACGTGGGACTCGATCCTGGGTCTCCAGGATCACACCCTGGGCCGAAGGTAGCGCTAAACTGCTGAGCCACCCGGACTACCCAGCTGCCTCCTGTTTTTATAGTTTATTAGGACACAACTGCGCCCATTTGTTTCCATATTATTTTTAGTTCCTTTCAGCTACAAGGGCAGAGTCATACAGTTCCTACAGGGATCATACGGCCCGGAGAACATAAAATATTTGCTATGTTGGCTTTTACAGAGCAAGTTTGCCAACCTTGGCTTAGGGTCTAAGTGTATAAAAGAAACTGGAAAGGCTTGTACTGATTGGCCATATACCTTACTTTAAAATGTGTATCTATAGTGTGTCCATCAATATTAGCAATCTGTGTGTCCATGCTGGCCGTAATTTGTAGACAAGCAAATTCTCCTCTGCACAAACTTTCCTTTGATTTTATGTGTTGATCATTTGAGTAATGTGTGTGTACATGATATTTAACAAAATTTGATTTTGGCCCATGTCCCATAATAAGTTTTCACTTGAAACTTTCAAATTAAGAATTTTTTTTTTGTACTTTTAAAACTACAATGGTAGGACATTCAAATTAGGAAAGAATAATCCGTCTGGCAGCAATCGAATAATTTGATGCTTTTCTTTACCTGTTATATTTTTAACTATTATGTAATCACCATCAGCTATGATTATCCTCACAAATTCCCAAAGACAATCTCCATCCAAATGGTACTGTATATTTGAGTGGTGCTTAGTCAAATATTTTCACATGTGTATTATTTCAAACAACTCTGTGATGTAG